GAAAACTGTGCATTTCTCTCTAGGAATTCTGTGAACCAAAATCCCAAAGTAGTGGAATCCCAGGAAATCCTCTTCCACAGCCCGGGTACACGGGCATTGTACATGTTATCCAAGGCATCTGTTAAATTCTGTAATGGAAAAGCATGTTATATAGAATCCAAGACTTGACCAGATGTCGACAAATGATTGAAATGATATGTTTGCTTCATAGTTCACAAGGTATAACCATCACTGATAAGGCCAGCATTTATTGCCCATCCCTAATTGTACTTGAGATACATATAGAAGCATAAAAATTAGGAGCAGGAGTAGGCCATTTGGCCCTTTGAGCCTGTTCCACCATTAATATGATCATGGCTCATCACCCAACTCAGTCCCCTGTACCTGTTTTCTCCCTTTGATTCCTTTAGCCTGAAGAACTATATCTAGCTTATAGTCTTAGAGTCATACAGCATGCAAACAGACCCTTCAGTCCAACTCGTCTGTATCAACCAGATATCCCAAACTGACCTTGTCCCATTTGCCAGCATTTGGCCCATACCACTCCAAACCCTTCCTATTCACATACCCTTCTAGATGCCTTTTAAATGTTGTAGTTTTACCAGCCTACACCACTTCGTCTGGCAGCTCATTCCACGCATGCAATTCCATACTCTTTGTGAAAAGATTACCCCTTGGATCCTTTTTAAATCTTTCCCCTTTCATCTAAAACATATTCCCTCTAGTTTTCGACTGCCCACCCCTAGGAAAAAGACCTTGTCTATTCACCCTATCCATGCCCCTCATGATTTTATAAATCGCCATAAAATCACCCCTCAGGCTCTGATGCTCCAGGAAAACTAGCCCCAGCCTATTCAGCCTCACCCTCTAGCTCAACTCTCCAACCCCGGCAACATCCTTGTAAATCTTTTCTCCCCCACTCTGAACCTTATTTCCCCTCCACCCCTTATTGTTCTCTTGTCTATTTTTTAGGTAATTTCATTATTAATTTCCATTCACTTAAACTTTGCATCTAACCCTTAGGCCAGTAGCTCAGCAGTGATTGACATGGAAAATATGGATGACACATCTGGGTCAAGTTTTGAGGATATGGGAGAGATGCATCAGGAACTGAAAGAGGAAGATGATGTTGGTGAAGAGCCTGCACCAACAGAAGAAGATGACAGTGCCTTCCTTGGTGTGAGGGGGCTAAAAGGGCAGCTGGGCCGTGATGTAGCAGATCAGGTGTGGATGAAGGTTTTGTCTTCCTTGGGCCTGGTGTTTTCACATGGGTGAAGTTTCCTTGTGATGTCTTTTTCCTGTTCAAATCACTTCACATTATATGAGTCTGGTTCTAATTAGTAAGGGCCCAGCAAAGCCACTCAATTCTCAAGCGGGCAACAAATACTGACCTTGCTCCATCGTAGAATAAAGAAAAAAGTCATTTTTATGTTTGGATTCTCAATACAGGCAGCTTTTTTCCTTGTGCTTGTTCCCAACTTGGCAGTCCAGATTTCTGATGTCCTATATTGGATTACATATGATGCTAATCTTTGTATTCTGCATATTATCGATAGAAGAAATGTTTCCACTGAGCTGTGCACCTGCTTTTGGGGTGGGTGTTCTGCGCACACCAATTGGCATTCCATGCAAAGACTAATGTTTGTAGAAATGCTGCTGTATATGGATCTCAGAAGCCCACACAGCAGAAAAATAATCTTGGTGAGCAGTGGGTTGTGGTTCTAATCATTCAACTTTGGAAAGACCGAAGCCATTGTCCTTGGATCATCCCACTAGAATGTGTTTCACTTAGTTTAGTGAATCTGGCTGTTTGTGACCTTTGCATATTGTTGAATCTTGGCTTCTCTAAACCACACATCCTGCTCATCAGAAAGGCTCTGCCTGCCGCTAGCTGCACTCCTTAATTGCCAATTGCCTAAAAATCACAAAATTATGAACAACAATCTACATATTATACTTTATTTAAAAAGGAACTTCAATCGCTGTACCTATCTCAGTTTTTATAGAATGGAATAGCCTTTATTGTTCTCTCATAAGTTCCTCTCGTAAGGTCTTTACTGTGCACATTCCCAAGTCCTTTGCCATTTAACCTCTCCTATCCTCCACCCTAACACACAATTTTCCCTTTTGTTGTTCTTCCTTTCCCTCTTTCACTTTCTCAAGACCAATTACCTTCCTAAACTGAGTTCTAATGAAAGGCCACATATTTGAAATCTTAACACAGTGTGGAGCTGGAGGAACCCAGCAGGCCAGGCAGCATCAGAGGAGTAGGAAAGTTGACATTTCGGGTCGGGACCCTTCTTCAGAAGGAAGGGTTTTCTGAAGAAGGGTCCTGTCCCAAAACGTCAACTTTCCTACTTCTCTGATGCTGCCTGGCCTGCTGTGTTCCTTCAGCTCCCCACTGTTATCTCTGACTCCAGCATTGGCAGTTCTTACTATCTCTGAAATCTTAATGCTGTTTTGTGTCTCCACAGATACCACTTGACCTATTGAGTGTTTCTAACATTTTCTCATTGAATGTGTTGTGATTTTGAATGTATTCTATTTAGTTACCTTATGACGTAACCATCCCTTAAATGGTCTGCCATTCCTCAGTTTGGATTTTCTTTTGTAGGTGTGGCAGGCAGGCAAGAGGCAGGCATCAAAAGCTTTCAATCTGTATGGTAACATTGATATTCTCAGACCATACTTTGATGTTGAGCCTATCCAAGTCAGGAACAGGTGAGTGTGTGTGGTTCTCCTTTATATTGCTGTCTAGTTCTTTTCTACACTTCAAAGATGACTAAGAACAAAGGAAAGCTAGAACATGGGATCTAGTAGAGGTGCAAGCTTTCAACTCAACCAGTCAGTTAATCTTTACCACCCTGATTATCTTTGATCTTAATTCCGTGTGCCTGTTCTGTTCTCCTATCGCTTTATCCCTCTTTTATTGCAATCACCTATTTTAAATGTTGGCTCGAGCTCGAGTTGCTAACTTGATGGAATATGTTTTCCACATCCTAAAACTCAGTTTCTTCAAAAGTACCCCTATCTCCAAAGTCCCCTGAATTGACACTATATCTCTGTCCCATCTGTGTAAAATCTAATTTAAAACTTGAGGTTTTTCTAAATTCTGTTTTACAATTGCAGTTTGAAATGTATTTATTATAAGCAAATAGACTTTACTTGCTCTTTAGGAGGGCCAGTACAGAGATGATGGGTCGAATGGTCTTCTCCTGTGCTGTAATGACTCGTTGATTTTATGGATTTTACTGCAGTTTGATGTTCAATGGGGCTTCGTTAATGGGTTGAAAAGTGATTTTCTCTTCCCGCACTTTGATACTCCTTCCTTTTTACTTGTCCTGTGTAGCCTAGGGGTCTGAGTCCTTGGAAATTTGGATTCTTGGCTTCAGGGTCTGAAATATTTGATAGTTGGAATACAGTAATTTTGGTACAAATAATTAGTCTTGTCACAGTGACATTTTATCCATTCAAAATCAGATATTCATCTCATGGCCTGTCCTAGTTTCAGATTTAGATGCATTTTAATGTACTTGTGGCTTTTATTGTTCCCAATACAGGTTGCTGGAGTCTTTAATTCCAATCCGAGCGATCAGTTTCCCTCAGGTGTGTTTATTTTTGCTGTTGTTGATATCGCACTCCTAGCTGCGCACCATTCCCTGGTTCAGACTGCATTTGGGAACCTTGACAAAAGTTTTACCTAATGTTTAAAAAATGTATGAAATAACCATTCATTTCAAACACAATGCTGCTGTAAATAAGTGCGAAATAGTGTGGTGAGGAGCGGAGAATTGGAAATCTGGAACTTTTACATTTGGAATATTGTACACTATGTTGGTCACCTTTTTTGACGAACGATATAAATGCATTGGAGACAGATCAGAGAAGGTTTACATGACTAATACCTGGACTGTGGAGGTAACCTTATGAAGAAAGGATGGGCAAGCTAGGTTTGTAGCTACTGAAGTTTAGTAGCATAGAGATGGCTTATTAAAAACATATCAGGTCCTGACGGCTTTTGACAGGATTAATATGAAGAGGTTGTTTCCTCTTGTGGGAGAATCTAGAACTAATGATCACTCTGATAATCAGAGGTTGTACATTTGAAACAGAGATGAAGCAAAACATTCTGTGTTAGAGGGTCATGAGTCTTTGGAGTTCTACCTGAAAAGTTGGTGGTAGCAGAGCTCTTGAAAGTCAAAGTTCTTAAGACCAAGGTAGATTGATACTTGGTCAGGTAAGAGGATGAAAGGTTATTGTGGGTTGGCGGGAATGCAGATTTGAGGTTGCAGTCGGGTCAGTTGTGATCTTAGTGCGTAGCTGAGCAGGCTCAAGCAACTGAATGGCTTCTGCTTGTTTGTATATTTCCTTATGTATTCCCACACCCCTCCAACCTAACTCCAGTCAATGACAAAAGCCATTAAGACTGGGGCCAATTAAAAATTTCAAATCTAAGAGCAATATGTTTTTGTTTGGCAATGGTATCAAGGGGAACAAAACCAAGGAAAATGGATGGATTCAGAGATAGGCAAGCCATGATCTAATTAGTGGAACGTGCTTGAGAAGCTGAATAGTTGATTCCTGTTCCCATAGAGTTAAGGTATCTGAGATATGTTGGATACAACTGTTTAAAAAAAATTGTTAATTTCTTCGGAATGTAATGACATACTGTTTTGGATGAATATTTATTAGTGTTTTTCTTCTCTCACAGAAAGTTGCAGGGGAATTGTATGGCCCTTTAATGCTGGTTTTCACACTGGTGGCCATTCTTTTGCATGGAATGAAAACATCTGGGACGGTAATTGTAAGTATCATATCGACTGCACAGTGATCGTGTTTTAAGAACTGTAATTTAGATTTATAGAGTCAGATCTGTACAGCTTGGAAACAGACACTTTGGTCCAACTCGTCTATGCTGACCAGATATCCTAAATTAACCTAGTCCCATTTGCCAGCATTTGGCCCATATCCCACTCAACCCTTCCTTTTCATATACCTATCCAGATGTCTTTTAAATGTTGTAATTGTACCAGCGTCCACCACTTCTTCTGGTAGCTCAATCCATTCACACACCACCCTCTGTGTGAAAAAGTTGTCCCTTAGGCCCCTTTTGAATCTTTCTGTTCTTACCTAAACCTATTCTCTCTAGTTTTGGACTTCCCTACCCTGGGGAAGAGACCTTGACTATTTACCCTATCCATGCCCCTCATGATTTATTTCTTCTGTGTGACAGTCACTGCTTTATGAAAACTAATTTACAGAATGAAGCACTTCGAGGCTTTTGAACACGAGTAGAAAAGCAAGACCATTTTTAAAGAAAAGGAACCGGTGTTGGCCATTCGACCCATTGAGTCTACTCTTCGATTCAATAGGATCATCGCTGATATTCCTTACAAAAACAGAAATGGCTGGGAAAACTCGGCAGATCTAGCAGCATTTGTGGAGAGAAAGCAGAAAAACCCTTTTGGGTCCAGTCGCAGCAGCCAGTGACCCGAAGAGTTCTGAAAAGGGTCACTGGACCTGAAACATTAACCTTACCTTCTCTCCACAGATGCTGCCAGACTTGCTGAGTTTTCCCAGCAATTTGTGATTTTGTTTCTGATTTCTAGTGTCCTCAGTTCTTTGGGTTTTTTTTTGTCGATATTCCTTACATTCACTTTCCTGCATTTCCCCTTTAATCCCTATTGATCATGTGGAGGAAGCGCTACAACATTTAAAAGGCATCTGGATGGGTTTACAAATAGGAAGGGATAAACAGATATGGGCCAAATGCTGGCAAATGGGACTAGATCAGATTGGGATATCTGGTCGGCTCAGATAAGTTGGACCGAAGTGACTGTTTCCATGCTGTATGACTCTATGACTTGACCTGTCTCAGCCTTAAATATATTGTAGGACTCTGCTCCCACAGCTTTCTGTGGCTAGGAGCTCCAAAGACACTCAACCCTGAAAGAAGAAATTCCTTCTCACCTCAGTCTTTTATTCTGAAACTATGACCTCTGATCGTAGGCACTCCCATGTAGGAAAGCATCCTCTTAGCATTTACCCTGTCAAGCCCCTAAAGAAGCCTATATGTTTCAAAGAGATCAACTCTCTTTCTTCTCAACTCCAGTCTCAACCTGTTTAACCTTTGGTCATAAGACCATTCCTCCATATTATACTCCATTGCCAATCTTTTGCCTACTTACTTAACCTATCAATATCTATCTGAAAACTGTTTGAATCCCTCTCACAACTTGCCTTTCCACATATTTTTGGTGTTGTCTGCAGACTTGGCTACAGTACATTTGCTTGGTTCCTCCAAGTCATTAATATATATTGTAAACAGTTGCAGTCGCAGCACTGGAACCACGAGGTTAAAAAAAAAGCCTGCAGGTGTATATTGGAAGCAATATGACAAAAAAATGAACTAAAAGCAAAATGGAGGACATATAAATATCTAAATCACGTAGGAGGCTGATGATGCGCATTGTATTAAATCTTTTAATTGCTATGACAATACCAGCTTGCATTTTTATGCCACCCTTAGTAAATGGTTTACGATGCTTCACAAAATGAAAAAAGGAATATTGCAACTGTAAAAGTGCAATTAGTGAGAAATGGTAATTCACAGTACTGGGATGGATACTAAACATTTTACTGTCGTTTATCAGTGTTTAATGTATCAAGGATTCTTTCGTCCGGAATTCACCGGAGAAGATGTGGACCACGTTTCATAAAGCATAGGAGCAGAAGTCGGCCATTTGGCCCATTGAGTCTGCCCCACCATTCAATGAGATCGTGGCTGACCTAATTATCTTGAATTAACAAGGTGTAGAGCTGGATGAACACAGCAGGCCGAGCAGGAAAGCTGACATTTCGGGCCTAGACTGATTTCTGAAGAGGGGTCTAGGCCTGAAACGTCAGCCTTCCTGCTCCTACGATGCTGCTTGGCCTGCTGTGTTCATCCAGCTCTACACCTTGTTATATCAGATTCTCCAGCATCTGCTGTTCCTACTGTCTCTAATTATCCTGAACTCCACTTTCCTGCCTTTTCCCTTAACTCTTGATTCCCTTACTGGTAAAAAGTCTGCATATCTCAGTCTTGAATACATTTCCACTCTGAATAAAATTATCCAAGCAGAATTGATTGCAGAGTTAATAACTTCTGCATAAATAATGTGGAAATTTGAGATGAGTTAAAAGAAGGGAATATCATCCGTACAAATGCTGCAAGGAGAATAAATTCCTGGAGTGGGAGTCATTTATCCTGAAAAATCAGGTGGGTGGGCTTGATTCATAGGTACTGAAAGAAATGGGAGAACTTTTGATTTTTAACAATACTATATAAAATTAATTAGAACTAGTTATCAGGAGTAAACTTGAGGTGTTGCTGTTATACTCTGGTAGTAAATGGTAACTAGCATGCACTCTGGTGAGGAAGACCCATTTGATAACACTAAGGAAATTCATGGTGTACCTCATCATCTGAAATCCACTATGCCAAAGCATAGTTTAATATGCTGATGATTCAAGGTTAAAAACCTAAGAATAGTTAAGAAATTGATTGAACGAGAAGGCAGGAAAATGGCGTTGAGAAATATATCAGCTATGATCGAATCTGCTGTGCCATTCAATGTGCTGATTGCAATTCCTTTATCTAATGGAACTGTGGGACTTAGCAGCGTAGTTATGTTGGGCGGAACCAAATGACGAGGGAATTGGTGATGAAGCCCATTAAGCGACTTAGATCCAGATACTCCAAATTGTTCCATCACAGCAGATAATTAAACTCATACATTTAAATCTGATAAAGCAATTTGGGAAGTCCTAACCAAGTTGAGATAGTCAAGTGGGCAGATCAGTGGTGAATGGAGTTGAGGCTGAGTAAATGTAGAATCAATGTCGGTAACCGTTAAATGTCTCCTGATGCTATTCATCTAAGAGCAGGGAATTCTCCAGTATTGTGGCCAATATTTCAGTCTTTCTAACACCTCCATTAAACAGGTTAACTGACCAATCATCTCACTGCTGTTGACAGCTCTTGTTTGCATAAAATAGATCATAATTAGCTACTAAAATTACAACACCTCAAAGTCACTGATTGTATGTGAAGTGCATGTTTTTCCTTAGTCCATTAGTGCTGCAGCAGCATCCTTACAGGAGCAGTAGAATGCCTCTGCCTTCAGTGATTTATCCCAGCTGCAGCACCAACGCAACTATTCATTGAGTAAGAACATGAATAGACCCATGGGCCCCTCCACCATTCTGTAACATCTTGATCAAACTCCCCATCCCTCAAAATCTTTAGTGCTCAAAAATCTATTGATTTGAAACCAAAATAGAATTTTGAGGTCAAAGCACTTTTGACCTTGCTTCCAGAGCTCTCTGGGTAGAGAATGTCAAAGAGTCGCTGCCCACTAAAGAAATTTTTGCTCATTCAGTCCAAAAAGGCTAATCCCCTGTCAATCTGAAATCTAATTCAGCCTTGAATAAATTCATGACCCACTCTCCACTGTGTTCTGGGGAAGAACATTCTAAAGATTAACAACTTATAAGAGAAAAAAATGCTTCCTCATCTCAGTTTTAAATGGGATCCCCCATATGTTTAAACTTGTGTTTAAACTTCGCACTTAGTTCTAGACCTCTGGCCAGGGCAAGCAATGTCTCAGCATCTACTCTCTCAAAGTTTCAAGTTGTATGCATTTAACTGAGTCCCACCTTGCATTTCATGGGGAAGGCGATGGCCTAGTGGTATTATCGCTGGACTGTTAATCCAGAGACCCAGATAATGTTCTGGGGACCCAGGTTTGAATCCTGCCGTGGCAAGTGGTGGAATTTGAATTGAATAAAAATATCTGGATTTAAGAGTCTAACGATAACGATGATCATGAATCCATTGCCAATTGTCGGAAAAACCCATTTGGTCCACTAATGTCCTTTAGGAAGGGAAACTGCCATCCTTACCTGGTGTGGCCTACATGTGACTCCAGACCCACAGCAATGTGGTTGACTCTTAACTGCCCTCAGGGGCAATTAGGGATGGGCAATAAACGCTGCTTAGTCAGCAACACCCTCATCCCAAGAATGAATAAAGAAAAAAAAATTGTCTTCACTAGCCAATACATGGCCTTTCTGTTGAATCCGTCCTGATAACACAGACCTCTTATCTCAGAAATCAATCTCTCCGATCTTTGATGCGTCCCATTCTATACAAATGTATTGTGCCTGAGGTAAGGAGACCACAGTTATGCGAAATACTCCAGGTGGCAACCCACCAAAGCCCTAAATAACCACAGCAAAATCCTTGCTTTTACAACTCCAACCCCTTGTTGGAAAGACTGACATTCCATTTGCTTTCCTAATTGCTTGCTGTATCTGCATTTTTTTTTGTAATTTACTAATCTGTCCCCTTTTCAAAACCTTTCTCACAAAGTAGATAGTTTCAAACAATCCCACATTATGGTCCATTTGCCTACACCATATCCAATTACTTAACCAGTGTATATCCCAATGGAGATAACAAGGTGTAGAGCTGGATGAACACAGCAGGCC